TCGATGCACTTGGTAATAGCAAACACTATTACAGGGAGGTCTTTGCTGCAGCTGTTTTATAAAGGGTTAATCTCTGCATTGGGGCTTTGAACAGCTGCCGGGACTATGAGGAGTGAGTGCAACGAAGTTCAGAGCAGGGTCCACATAATTCTCACCTTCCAGGGTCCTTACCAGCCTCCACCTTGTGGGACCTCAAGTACAAAGTGCAATGGAAGCTGGCTCCAGCTCTTTTGAGGAGGGGTTCCCCCGCAGCCGGCAACACACAGGCTTTCTTGTGCCTTTACCGACCCCAGCCTGCATGCGGTCGGCGGAAGAGCCTCTAGCTACAAGAACTTCCTGATCGCTGAGCAGGAGAAAGCTTTCTGCAGAGATCAGAATTACCGGAGCCGTCTGCTCTTTAATGCCTCACCAAGCAATCACAATGCAGCATTCTCTCCCTAAATTTATCTGATTTGATAATCAATAAATCAAATTCAGTATGATGGTTTGAAACCAAGCCAATGATTTATAATGGAAATTAATCCCTGCATCTTCCCAGCGAAAGCATTTTCAGAGCAAGGGCTATGAAGCAAAGCTAAACTCATAAATTAAATACGACTAAGACGTGCTCACAGTCATTTTATGTTTATTCATTACAGGAATGACTGTTTTCTCTTTCCCCCTGTTTATTTCAGAAAGCAGCACTCCTGGATGAAGTGCCAGTGAGGAACCGCAGCATCCCTCTCTTCTACCTGCACTTAGTTCAGTTTTCACTTGGCCTTTTCCTGGAGGCTAAAGGCAGCAGTGGCCTGGCAGGACTTTGTGTTTCCGCCTGCTCCGGGAGTGGCACTTCTAGGAAGAGACCATGCTGCCGAATTCCAGCCAAGAAACACGTTACAGGAAGGTCAGCATTACCTGGCAGAATGGGCAAAGACTGGAAAACACCACAGGAAGCCATCTGCAGAGCCCTCTCTCTCCTCCTCCTCCAGATGCAAAACAACACACTGATTACAAAATTACATCCTATTTCTCAGGAAAGGCAATGTACCCTACAACAGGTGATATGCACACGTGTCGCATCGCCTGGTCCTGAGCGGCACCCTGGGTATGCCAGAGAAAGAGTCCACAACAAGGATGCCTCAAATATCTTACGTATGCTACAAATATGGAACAACCTCATTATATGGAACCCCCTGGGACCAGGTAGTTGCTGTAATGGGATCAAGTCAATTTGTCACAGCATAATAATGAAAAGATCAGCTCCTGCTATTAAGAGCAGGGTTTGTTATAACGAGACCGAACTGTATCTTACAGCTCACGTGTTTGGGCTTCGGTTGGTTTGCGGATGATGCCCTGCCACCTCTGAACAGCCCCTGTGGGCAGATGTGGAGGTTCATGGAAAGAAAGCACATGGAAGATCGCTGCAGATGTGCAGCTGGATCGGCAGTGTGCAATCTGGTAGGGAGAATGCAGCATGGTGAGATCTCTCCTCCGAGGAAAGAGTCGGCTGCAACGGTCTATACACAGCCAGGACTGCCGGAGAGGTGAAATCAAGGTCTTCCTTCATGGCCAGCACAGCTGCACAAGGGGAATGCAGGGGTCGCGAGCAGACTATTTCAGGCAGGAAGCATGAGGGAATAAGGGGGTGCTTCTGTGTCCTTGTGCCATGGCGCAGGATGGGCAATGGACTAGCTCTTAATTCACAGAACTTAGAAGGGACCTTGTACAAAATGTGAACAGTTGAAGACAGAGTGGACCGTCATGCAGTGAAAATCAGGTGGACAGGAAGGAAATAGAATTCACCATAAGAA